GGGAAAAATTCGCGATTACCGAACCGCAACCACCCCTAACCTGACTGGTCCAGTTTGCAAAGGTGGCACTTTCCTCCCTCATGTTTTCTAGGAATCTCTAGATGGTCAAGGGGTACGGAAAATTGCTTTTCACAATAAAAAAATGCATTGCCATTGACTTATTAAACCATCTCCAACCCAAGGGGCGGAAACTCAAATTTTGAGTTTGAAATCCAAAAAAATTCTCCAACCCATGTATTTTTTTTGGGGGGGGGGGGGTGAAAATTTGAGAAATCTCAACGGAATTCCAGTCCCATTATTGCCTGGATTGATTTTTTTGTGGGCCCAAAATTTGCTTCTTCTTTTTTCTTTTTTATGGCTGAAGCGCGGTGCTGAACAATGTTTGCTGGCCTGTTGGGAGTTTCTGTTTGGGCAATAACTTTGTGCGAAAAAGCTGGGGCACATTTCATTATTGATGGACAACCAAGATCTAAAATATCGGGAGTTTCGGAAATATCGGTGGTCCAAAAACATAGATATATCAATGGAAATATCGATGAAATATCGATATCGATAAAAATTGAATAAAAATAATGGAAATTATGAGAAAAGCTTGGAAATTTTTATTGAAACTTTGGATGATGTTTACTTAGTCAATTGTCTATTATTTTATCACAAAAAATTGGAAGAAAATGGATGGCATGGTGGGTTTGAGTGAGTTAAGTTGATTATGTAGCGACCTGACAAACACTGTGACTTTAGAAAATATGTAGTAATTAATGAAAGAAAATTAAACACACCATAATTTTTTAGTTATAATAATGTACTTCAATATATTACACTTGATACATATGATAAAATATATGAGCTTAACCAAAAAAACAAAGATAAAATGTATGAGTAACTTAGTACCACATAGAAAGAATTCCTATTAAAATTCAAACTTAGTATCACATATAATGAACAATATTAAAACTCGAAGTGAATAATAATAAAACTCCATAATATATAACAACAACAAAATACTACTCCATTATAAAATAATAAATAACATTAAATATATGCTTAAATTTATTCTTAGGGAATTTTTTTAATATGGAAATTTATCTTAGATAATATTAGCTTGTAGACATTTTTAAAGACCTTATAAATATTACAAGTTGAAGGTATGAACACAAACTCAGCCACAACTGAGTTGGATAAGGCGCTGGATTTGATGAGAAAGGGAAGGGGTTTGAATCCCTCTGTGCGCATGATGGAGGCTTTTCAACATTTTTCTTGTCCTTTTCAGTTTCATATCGCGATATTATCGATAAATTGATGAAATATAAATGGAATGTTGTGAAAATATCGGGGCCCAAAAAAAAAAACGATATTATCGGCGATAATATCAAAATTTAATTCGTTGTGGACAACAACCATATTTTCAAAAAAAAATATGATGTTCCTGTTTTTAATATATATATATATATATATATATATATGTATATTAGTCATCTTCTATTGAGGGATCCCTCAAATAATTTTATTTGAGGGACACCCTTTAGGGTACCCTACAGTTTTATTTCCAATGATCCAAATCATCTATTTTTTAGGTCTTTATTCATAGATCATCCTTACAAAAAATTAGACAAATCGGAAACCGTTTCGACATCCAATTGTATCATACAAAATCAATAAACATGGTGCTTCAAGAAAGTACTAAAATTTCAATAACTCAATTGAATGGTCAAATGATATCGGATTCAAGTGATTTTTTGTAGAGATGATCTTTGAATGTGTATCTACAAAATAGACGGTTTTGATTAGTGAAATACAATCCGGAGTGGGCCCTACAAGGGGTGTCCCTCCAAAAAACCTATTTGTGGGATGCCTCAATGGAAGCTCTCTGTATATATATTCCAACAACTATATTTGTAATCAACGATCATGATTAATTTTAAGCAATCTCAACGGCAAATTTAATGATTGTCGTTTATTTTTCTATGATTAGTCTTTTTTAAGCAAAGAATCCAATGAAGTAAAAATAAAAGTAAAAATGGAAGAAAATTATGGCAATGTTTTTATTTTTAAGTAAAATTCTATTATGTTTTGGAATTTTAATTTTTTTAGGTTAAAATATTTAGAAAATTAAATAACGAGTGTTGAAACAAAAATGATGTCAAAAAAAATTTAGGAGTTAATCATTCTTAAACCATTTAATAAAGTTGCGGACTTAAATTATGAGTTTCCAAAGTTGGAGAAAAAAAAAAATTTGAGTCATGAAAATACATGAATAGTTGTATTTTGGAGGGTGGAAATTTGAGTTAGCCCCAACATGGTTGGAGATGACCTTATGAATAGAATTGTAGATGGTCAAGGCTAAGTAATCCTTATGTTTTTTTTTTCTTTTCTCCCAATGAACAAATGGACTTATCTTGAAATCCCCAAAAAATTGAGTCTCAGTTGCATGATACATGAAACAGAAATGATCTTTGTAGACGTCCATGTTGAACAAAGGATGTTTATTCAAATTTTTTTTACTTGGAAAATACCTGGAAATAGCAAGAAAAGTAAGGGGACCCATCACCCGTGTAGGTTAAAGATTTTGGTTCTTTGTAATAGAGATGGTGCCGAATCTGCACAAAATCAGCCATGTAACCAAATAGGAATGTACTTGGAGACCAAGTACCCACCACTTATATAAATATTCTAGTTCTATGTGAATACGAATCATCCTATTTCAAACCTAAGTGAATCTCTAATACTTTACTAGATTCTTAAGGGAGTTTCAAATTAAAGTAAGCTTAAGGGACAGTATATTGAAAATTGTCAACTAACTTTGTTGAATAATCATTTCTTAGTGGAATTTATTATTATTAATAACTTACTTTTGATGAATTGGTTAAATATGACAAGACTCTAGACCCTTCCCGAATAAAAAGTGACCAAAATCCCTCTATGCCCAAGGGAAAATTGTAATTTCATAAAAAATAAATTAAATAAAATGACGTTTTGAGACGGGATGTTACAACCTACCCCCTTAAAAAAATTTCATCCTCAAAATTTCACTATGATACGCTGAAATTGTTTTGGTCACTTCTACACTTTTTCCACACCTTACTCACGACACCACAACTTTTGACAACTCATTTCATTTATTCTCATCTCCTTTGTTTTGGTGCCTCTAGCACATTTCCAACTCCATTCCCAATATCTAACTTAAGAACACATGGATGGGGGCAACCATGTTTGATAATCTCAACACTAATAAGGAACCATCCGACCTTCAAAGATAAAGAGTGCACTTAGTGTGCGAGTCTACAGAATCACAAAACTATGCTCTAATACCAATTGACAGGATCTATCCCGAGCAAAAAGTGACCAAAATCTCTCTATGCCCAAGGGCAAAATTGTACGTTTACAAAAAAATAAATTAAATAAAACAACATTTTGGGACGGGATGTTACAAAACATGGCTGTATCCTAGCTGCAGCCTTTTGTGATTACTGACTCTATTGATGATCAAGCAACAATTAGTCACAAAAGTATGAGTTTTGAAGGAGGGTTGGTTTTGGTTGAAGAAGATTTAAATTGAAGCAATTCCAAGTTGGTGTGGTAGTTCACATACTCATACTATTGCACTGTTACTAGACTTGGGATGATTATCAAAATGTTATAACGCGCAAAGCAGTTGAATTTAATTATAAGATATTTTATTAAGTTTTTATTTTTATTTTTTATATAAGTAATATTGGAAAAGAGAAATTTAGAACCTCGAATACCACTTAAGCTACAAGGACTTGCATATTTGATTAAGGTTGAGCTTAAATATAATTGATCAACCGCACAAGTGAACTGAGCAAGATATGCGATGGGTCAAATAGGAAGAAAAGGAAGATGTGTGATGGGCCTAATATTCATTGGCACAGAAGGCCTTATTTATGGTTACATAACGTGAGCATGGGCTACGTCCGAGTAAGACAAGGCAATTGATTTACTTCCAGTCCATTTGAGATTGGGTAATCTGATCAAATTATGAGTGTTGTTATTTCCACCCACTATTTTACTTTCTCCACCCACTTTAGGTTTTCACATTCCACTCAATTTTTACTCCTAAAATGCCCCCAATATTTTGATCAAATTGACATTAATCTCATGGTTCGGTCCACTTGACTGTATAACTAAACTATTGCACCTCTTAATTTTCTCATTAATATGGCCATTGTTATTATAGAATTTTGTGAAATCTCTTTTTTTTAAAAAATTTATAAAATTAAATTATATTTTATTTTATTTTAAATACAAGCGAAATTAAAGGCGGGAAATCGAATGTGAAACCTTAGATACAGGGATAACAAAAATTCACTCATTTTAGATATATGGCGACATGACATAAATAATTTTTTGAAAACGTAGACATGTTTGCATAATTTTAATAATGTTAAGAAAGTTATGGTTAAACTTAAATGTAAGAAAATAAAGTTGATCCGAGATCAATTTATCCCAAAAAAGGAGGAAAAATGGACTAAAGGTCCAAGGCCTTTTTTGATCGTTTATCAACATTTGGTTCATGGAACGGATTTGAGCGGAAATAATTTCCCATGTGGGAAATGGAAGATACATTTCTCACGTTTGGTTATGGCGAGAAAGTAACGGGGAGATATTACTTTATTTCATTTCCCATGTTTGTTTTGAGTAGGAATGGAAAACAAAATTTGTATAATTTTCTAATTATACCCATACTATATCAAATAAAAAAAGAAAGCATTTAATGATATATTGTAATTTCAAATTGTTAATAGGGACAAAATGGTCATGAAAAATGTGCATTTAATGTTGGCTCATTTTCCCGAACTTTCCTATGAAGAGGGAAAACAAAACCCAAGTTTTTGGAGGAGGACTGCATTTTGCCCCTACTTTCTCATGTGACAGGCAATCATTTTCTATGTGTGGACTTACCAAACATGTGAAAACAATTGATTTTCCATCCCCAAGTCTCATTTCCTATGAACCAAACGGCTGTCACCATGGTTGCAAAGACCAATAGACCAAACTCCAAAGAGAGCTGCAGTCACAATCCTGGAATGAAGTGCCAGTGCAGCAGCACTAGTAGTAGCAGTAGCGGCGTTGATGAGAAGTCAGTGTTTTCACTCACCTCGTCAAGCAAGTACGAAGATTATATGGGAGAGAAAACCAAAGGGGATTTGAATGTCAAGGTGGAGCATCTTGAGGCCTTTGGTAACTTTCTTTCCTCTCCAATGCTCTATTTCGTTCTTTCAGTTTTGAAACTACAACCATATATATGTGCGTGTGTAAAGTTTTGTTCTTTTCAATGAACCCATGTAGGAATTGATAGTCAAGCAACTTTAAAAGGTCCAATGGAGGAAGTAGCCAGGGTTGAGGCTGAAGAAGCTGAAGACTTGCTCAGAGAATTGGGTATCCCGGTGCTGTTTTTTAATTCCTTTTCCTGCATACATTTGGTCCTATATATGCATTACAACATCTCTTTGCTTTCTTATCTTTTTCTTTAATATATGGTTCTCTTGAATCTTGAACCAATAAATATCCCTCTTATCATTTTCTTATGGTATTACCATGTTCAATATTTATGTGCAGACTCCTTTTTCGTCAAGAAAATCACCTCGTGGCATTTTTTGTAGCCGCACGTTGAATCTTCAATCAATCAGTGCCATTGGATATGATATGGACTACACCTTGATCCATTATAATGTGATTGTAAGTGTCATCAGCTTAATATGTGTTCTTATTCAAGCATTAGTTGGCACGTCAGCTTTGATGCAACATCAAGATCATATAGTTTTTGCATGTGCAAGTGACTAGTGTTGCAACCTCAATGCATTAGTAACCATTACTATTCTGGCTATTGTCTGACATGGATTTGTATTTGCAGGCTTGGGAAGGGAGAGCTTATGATTACTGTATGGAGAATTTGAAGAAAGTGGGTTTCCCTGTTGACGGTCTTGCGTTTGACCCTGACTTGGTAGCATCTATAAGCAAGATAAAAGGTTTTTGAGTATTTACATTTAAGCAAGTCATAAGATCTAATTTTCGTTTTTCCTTCCTACCTTTGTTCCACCCTTTCCCATAGGTTATTAGAGGCCTTGTCATAGACAAAGAGAAAGGCAACTTAGTGAAGGCTGATCGATTTGGTTATGTAAGGAGGGCTATGCATGGCACGAAGATGCTATCTAATCGAGCTGTAAGGTACACTATGAAGCTTTTATTTTGATTAGTCTCATAGTGCAAATGCAAAGAAGGCATTCAGTGTGCTGTTAAAACATTAGCAATAAGACTTCCTACGAAAGTTCCTATGATCAGGTTTATTACTCTGGTCTTCCCTTGTATTATAACTTTGTGTATGTAGCGCTTAGGTTCTTCCAACATTTTGCACTTTAGCATATCATTTTTGGGAAAAGATGGAATCATATATTCTATAGTGTGGCTTAACTTTTTACTCATTGAAGTGAGATGTACGGGAGGGAACTGGTGGACCTCCGGAAGGAAAGTCGATGGGAATTCCTTAATACACTGTTCTCCGTCTCAGAAGCTGTCGCTTATATGCAGGTACTGTATTGTTTTAGCCAGAGCACTGTTTTAACTTCTGACTCATTTTATTGCTATTATTTTTGTGGATTTAGTTTATTCATATGCAGACATTGACTCATGATTCTTTTCAGATGGTTGACAGATTGGATGATGGAACCATAGCAGCACAGCTTGGTCCACTTGATTATGAGGGGCTCTATAAGGCAATATGTTGTGCCTCAATTTTATAGAGCTTGGTATTGGTTTTTTCTTGCTCCTTTTTAACTATTGACATGATTTCAGGCTGTTGGAAGAGCCCTCATCAGGGCACATGTAGAGGGTCAACTAAAGGTTAATATGTTTCTGATTTGTGTATTAGATATGTAAGAATTGGTTCATGAGCATAAAGTGATTGTGGTATATATGCAGAGTGAGATAATGTCTAAGCCAGAACTATTTGTGACACCTGATCCAGAATTACCCCTAGCACTTTTGGATCAAAAGGAGGTATGTCTTATAGAAATTTATCGTTCAGTAGCGTGTGACATCATTTAACTCCTTATTTACTTCTTTGACCTATTCGTGCATTAGGCTGGTAAAAAGCTTCTGCTCATTACCAACTCAGATTATCATTACACAGACAAAATGATGCAGCATTCCTTCAACAGATTTCTTCCCAATGATATGGGTTGGCGAGATTTATTTGACATTGTAAGTAAATGTCGTTGTTTACTTATAACTTCGTGCCACATTGAATAGTAATTATTTTATTGGACCTCTGCTATAAAAGTCTCAGGATCATTCTTTCCTGGGTGATGCTTAAACCAGCAGCATAATTTTATCACAGACCAGTTTTCTTGTGTGTGTGTGTGTGTTTAACAATCAAAGATTGCCTTGAAACTTAATGATCATTAGAATTGTGACCGCCTCAACAGCAGTGAGTCATGGTTTTTTGGTCTATCACGCTCATTTTCAGGTAGTAGTCACCGCAAGGAAGCCAGAGTTCTTCCAAATGTCACACCCTATGTATGAGGTGGTGACAGGAGAGGGCCTCATGCGTCCATGCTTCAAGGCTAAAACAGGTGGTGAAGACTAATGTTCAGTACTTGTGCTTCTTTAGCCCTGAAATTCTTGTATTTTTAAGGCAAAATACAGTGAAGTTGTTAATTTCATGTGCTCTGTGGTTGCACTTGCT